ATATAGTTTTTCATATATGAATTTATCGAAGGTTGAAATTAAATCATTCTATTTTTGTTTATAAAAAATAAGGAAACAGTAAGATGCCCAAATATTTTTGGGAGATTTGCTTGAATTTTTTGGTCAAGCCACAGTCTAATTTCCCTTCTCAAATTTTTTGTAAAAGGTTGTTAGTTATACTTTTAAAGAATCATAAATCATATATATAAAAACATCACACTCATTTCTACACCCAAAAATAACACCGAAAAGATAAACATGTTTTCTTCATCTTTGAATAATTTTTTTCTCTTCTTCTCATATCGTATCGACTACCTCGTCCACATACAGATTTGAATCCCCAAAAATATATATATATTTGGTCCCATGATTTTGGATGTAACTTCAATTTTGTCCAAGTAATTTCAAAACTTTTAATTTGGTTCTTAAAATAGCAATCACATCTAATTTTTTTAAATATGGTACGGAAGTCCAATTTTAAAATTACAACTTTACCCATATGATATACGTTTAGGTATGTGATATATAATTGATATGAGTGTATGATATACTTGTAATATATATGTGATATACATCTGATATACTACTGATATGAGTGTCTGTGCAATATGTATGTGATATACATCTAATATACTACTGATACAAGTGTCTGATATACTATTGATAGAGGTGACCTCGGTCGGTCGACTTGATTTTCCGGCCAAAATCGTCGCCGACTGACGCATGGTCGGTTTCCACTGGAAATCGACTGACCATTGTTACTGATTCTCCACCAACCAACTGAGGTCAGTCGGTCGGTTTTCGACAAACCGACTACGTCTGTTACGACGGCGAGGAAGACCGACGAACATGCCATTATTGTCGTCGAGAAATAAGAAAACTTCAAAGATTGGTCGATAGTGAATAAAAGAAAAGAAGACATGGTAACATAAAAAGAAGGTCTATAATAATAATGGAAGAAGAAAGAAAGAAGATCTAAGGAAGATGAAAGGTTTGTCAACAATGAAAATGGTGAGAAGGAAGATTGCGAGAGATGAGAGAAAAAGAGAGAAAGTAATGAATGAAAAAGTAAATAATGATTGATTTGAGGAAATGGGAGATGAGAGAAGAAAGAGAAGTAATTAAAATAATATAAAAAAGTTGGATGGTTTCAAGAAAACCATAGGAGCCCGTGGTTTTTCTCAAAACCACCTCGAAAAAATGTACATCTTCCCTAATTTAATACAAAAATCTTCGGTCGGTTTTCTTTATCTGAAATCACCAACCGATCAGGTAAAATCGACACCGACCAACTTGCAGCTGAAACAGACCTAATTGGCTTGATTCGATTGGGGCGGTTTTTCGAGATTGGATGTGCACCACTAACTATTGATATCAGTGAAAAATTTTGCTATATTTGAAAATTTTAAAAATAGGTGACGTAGTTTGAAATAGATAAAAGACTTTTGCTACTCACTGCAATTTCTCTAAACTTTACACGTCGTTCTTAAATTATTTTGCATCCATCTCAAAAGTGTATTGAACTAACATAATCAATTAAGAAACAAATAGATTTGAGTAAGTCACGAGATAAGTAACGTAACTTTTAAAACTATAACGACATTTTAAAGTAAATCTAAATAATATGATAATTAAATTTAAGGTTTATGAAAATGTGAGGTTCATATTTTATAGAAATTTTGATGAAAATTTGGAAAAAATCATGAAAATTAATTGGAATTGTTTGAATTGGTAAACAATTTTTTATTTGTGGTTTAATTATACTATAATTACTATTTTGAATCATAAAATATAAAAATAAAAACTATATTTTATGTTAAAATGCTCATATCTATAGAAATTTAGGGAAAGAAATAATGAAAAACATCGTGGAGATTATTTGAATTTAATAAAACGAGACTTCAATTATAACTCAATTATTATACCATTCATTATTTTAATCATTTATATTCACAATTCAAAGTAATATGTATATAGTTAAATAATTAAAAGCGATATCCAATATTGAGATACGACCAATGATTAAAAGAATTATATTTTTATAATATTAAAATTATGTACAAATGCAATACAACACTTTGCATCGGAAGGGGGAGAGGGATAAAAATAGAGAGTAATTTTTTTTTTCTTTTTTTGAAACATATAAATAGAGAGTAATGTTAAATGGAGGGGAAGAAAATAGGTCAAGTGAGAGATTGCTGATATCTTTTGATATTTCCTCGACATTTTTTCAACATGGTGAAAAAATGAAACGAAACTCGTTTTTTCAATATGAGAAACATGCGCTCAAAAAGACCTCCTACACCCCCTCGCCAAGTGAGAGTTTAGTCAGAATTTGCTCTAGAAGTTGCTCCYGCTCCGGACTTACTTCCTGGAAAGATAGGATTGGGCAATTCCGCCGGTTCTGGAGCTGACCTTATTATTATTCAAAGGGTAAAGAGCTTTTTTTATAGAGGTTGAGTAAGGGGACGGAGCTTGAGGCTTCTCAGCTATAGGAACAGGGAACGAATCCTCAAAAATGGAATGAGTTCGTAATTACTACCACTATCGCTGCTATTTTCTCTCGAACATTTTAAACAATAATTATATATTGATATTGATACATTATTAACATTTCTAGTAACATCTCTTTATAATAAAAACCTCGATTCATTAGCGTTGATGTTTAAGTTATTAATTATATCTATGTGAGAGATGAAATAAAAAAAGATAATAAATTCTATAATTTAATTAAAATACATAAATAAAATAAGTAATTTTAAAATGACAAAACTTCCTTTCCGAAGATTCTCCTTGTGAATTCCTAAGTATGCATATAGACAAGTGGACACCGCAAAAATTATATAAAATTAAAAAGAAACACTTGTCCATATGTTAGATCACGTAGGAATCCAGGACAGATTTTTTTTTCTTTAAAGAATATCCGGATAAAAAAAATGGAGATTAAGAAGGTGAACGTTTAGTATTCCAAAGATTTGCAGAGACCCCACTATATGAAGCGCATTTAATTTATATGAAAAAATAAAGAATGTGGGAGAGCTGAGAAGAAGAAAAAACGTTGAGAAGAGGGAAATGTAGAGAAAAAGAGATAAATATGGTAGGTGGGAGAAAATTGAAAAAGATGAAAAAAGGAGAAATTAAAGTAATATATTTTATATTTTTTAAATTCTATTTTCTCTTTTCATTTCTAAATTCATAATTTCATATTTCAAATTTTCAATTTTATTTTTTTATTTTCTAATAACAAATAACAAATATCAAATAAAATTACAAATTACAAATTACTTGGACAAAATACAGTATCTAAAAACAGACCAATACGATGAAATTAAATAGTATTAATTGAGAGCAAATGTGGGATAAAAAAAATTGAAATCTCGAAATTCAAATATGAAAGTAATGATAACAAGTGCCCATAAAAGAGAATTCGTTTAAAAAGTTTCATTATCTGTAGTTCCAAATTTTGTAAAACAACCATATTTTATGGATGTTTCTTTTAATAGTCGGAAATAAGTGTTTTAGCAAGTTGAGCTATGTTCAAGTTAGACTTTTGAAAAAAAAAATGAAATTACGCCCTCCACGACATGTTAAGTCTGTAGACACAACGACATGTTGCTTGAAATTAGAGTGTCGTAACGACAAAAATTGGAAATTTAAACCTTTAAATTAGGACGTGGGAGAAACAACTTTCAAATTAACTTGTGGACACCACATATTCTTTAATTTTAATGGCTCAATATACCATTCAAAGCTACCTTCAATATATTAAAAAAATTTATTAAGTCATTCCAAAAATTCTTTTAATCTGACAAATCATTAAATTAATGTGACATGTGATCTGTGAACATACCATTTGGACCTTCCCCGTTAGTAAAACGGATCCAACAATTAACAAAATTTAATATTCTCAAACATGCTCCGATATGTCAATAAAATAATAGTATAATATTTTCTAGTACAAATAATAATATAATGTTACATTACATTCACCTTAACAAGTTTTTAAAGTCTCTATTAAAGAATTTTTAATACATTAAATATAAAATTGAGAAATCAGGTCCAAATTGAAAAGAACTTTAAAATATTGAGACTCTACTCGTTGTGCACATTAGTTAAGTTAGGATATCACTGAAAATTGAAGATTTGGTTTCACTCCGTCAAAAACTTTCGTTTCTTTAACTTTGTACAAACCAATCACCGTCTGTTAAGTGAAAAAAAATGGAGAAAAAAGTAGAAGCAAATGAAAGCAAAAATAAATAAATAGAAATATGAGAGACTATTTTGAAAAGTAGTGTGATTTAAAAAAAAAAAAAAATTTGAAAAAACGAGCCAAAAATACATTTCTCGAGGAGACGTAATATTTTTAAAAACAAATCTGTCTTATTTGGTTTGGTGGGTGTGAAAGCAAAAAGTAGAATTGGAATTGACAATGAAACAAATATTGGATATTTGATTCTTTTTTCCACTTCGGAGATATAAAAATTCGTTTATAAATGGAAAAAATAGAACCTGGAATGGTATTTTAATATGTAATAGGTTTATGTTTTATATTTTCTAGGGGTTTCACTAACATTCTAAATATTTCACTTTTGTCTTTGTTAGTTTTCCCATTTTAGAATATTATCTTGTACATAAGATAATAAAAAAATGGAATCTACAACTCATCTAACATTGAACCACTTGAATTACGTGGACTCTCCATTTTTTACTCCAAAATTTGAAATGGTTAAAGAAACAATATGTTCTCCTGTTTAAGAGTAATTAATTATTAATATGTTATCATTTTGCTCAGTTTTCTTAAAACAATCACACTGCTTTTTGAGCGGGGCTGAGGGGAGGGAATGGTGGAGCACGTGACTCTTTCTTTTAATAATATAAAAACAAATAACTAATTATATTTAAATAGTTATAAAAAAATGTTTTCTACGGAAAATACTTTAGAGAAAAACGTAAAAACAGAAAATGTTATAAAAAAAAATGATAACTTGCTAAATGTTGAATGGTGTCGTTACTCCAGTTTAGAATTTTCCTTTTTTACACGAGGATCACGTGGGAGATTCGTCTCCTACAAAGCCGTGTTTGGAACCGGCTTCTCCTTCCACACAGCAACTGCACTGGTAGTCCCACTTGAACTTGAACATGGCCATGGCTTCCCCTCACTTTGTTCTGTTCCCTTTCATGGCTCAGGGCCACATGATCCCCATGATCGACCTGGCCAAGCTTCTGGCTCGCCGTGGAGCCATAATCAGCTTCATCACCACTCCCCGTAATGCTGCCCGCAATTACTCTGTTCTTGCCCGAGCGATCAATTCCGGGTTACGAATCCACGTCCATCAACTGGACTTTCCATCCAACCAAGTTGGCCTTCCCGAAGGTTGCGAGAATCTTGACTTGCTGCCTTCATATGATGATCATTTGACATCCAAATTCTTCCAAGCAACTTTTCTCCTCCGCGAGCCGTGGGAAAAACTGGTGGAGCAACTCATCCCCCGCCCCACCTGCATAATCACCGACACCGGCTTCCCCTGGACCTTACCACTTTCCCTCAGACTTCACATCCCAAGGCTCGTTTACTACACCCACAGCTGCCTCTATCTTCTCATTATGCGGAGTATACAAAGCAGGCAACCCCTTTTAGCATCCATCTCTGACGACTCTGAATACGTAACTTTGTCGGACCTGCCCCATGCAGTCCAGTTTCT